GCAAGTTATACATAAATAGAATCACATAGACTGTCAAATAAAGTTTCTACCTTAAGTCCACAACCAAACAGGGAAGAGGAAATGAGGTAGAATCCATCATTTTAGGGATATACAATCCTAATTGTATATACTTTGAAAGCATACACTTATCAATTAATAGAGTCAACATCGATTTCAAGTAATACGTGTAATCAAATTTTTCCTAGGCTATAAGGCATCATACAAGTTAGGTAATTCTATCATATAGCTCCTGATGGTATCCTTAGCCTTACTCTAGCATGCAATTTCACATATGAAGCATACTAATCATAACACATAAGCATGGGTAAATTAGGACATGCTTACTTGAGCTCAACCGATCGCATGCATTGCACTCTCCCTTTTTACTTAAGAAAACCTTTTTCGGAAAAATTATGTTCTTTTTCTTTTAAAAGATTATCATTCCTCAGTTTAAGTTCTGACACACTCGAGAGTGTACCCGAATCCCTTAAACCAAGGCTCTGATACCAACTTGTGACAACCCAAAAACCATATAATTTTTTTTTCATTTTTCAATTAGGAATTACAGTAATAATTTGTTTCTATAATCCATTACATAATAAACATGTCAAATTATCAGAGTAACACTATCAATAAATGCGGAAAATAGTGGAGAGTGAATTTTGCGCCATCTAGCTGGGCCCTTCACTTTAGTACCGGGAGTACCTGAAACAACAATACAAACTATAAGAAAAAACTTAATGAGTTCCCCACAAATACCACATAACATAAATATAGTCATCATAGGCTACCCCCATGGACTTTTTCCTGAACTGCGATGGGCTACCCCATGGTATTCCATACAAGTGTCACGGGCTACCCCTGAGGTCTTTCAGACAAGCAAACTCATATACAACTTTCATTCCACATGACAAGTAATAGGCCGACATTGGTGCCTTTGACCCATGGATATAGTGAGAAGGCTCACCTTAGTCTGCTGGTAAGTACTAACTGATTGGCTACCGATCCGACAATCTCACACACCAAAAGCTTCCCAAGATGATGTAGATTTAGGACCGTGAAGCTCAACCATGTCCAAGGCTTGCTCACCAACTTCTTCTTCTTGCAAATACACCAAAGAAGGCCACTACTGTCAGTTTCATGCTCAAAGATCGCACTCCAAAGCAAACTAGTTTTTTGGAACGTTTAGAGGTGTGGAAGCTGATAATGGTGAGGGTCCAAAGGTCATAAATGTGCTTAAATAGTGGTCATTCCCGAAAATTAAGGTTTTGCTTTTTGGCTACGTACGCCCCACATACGTGGCTCAAGGTCCCGACTCCGCTTGCCCATGTACGCTAAGTGTACATAAACGTACACCCAACGTACGAAGAGACTTGTTTTGCAATAAAATCAATAACCCAAGGACTAAAAGGTAGCATACCTGAATCCGCTTGTTACATAAATTCATTCTAAAAGAATATGACTAATAATGTTTAACAATTAATTTTTTCTTAAAGAATAAAATTAAGAATGATTAAAATTCAAATAAATACATTGAAATCAAGTAAAATAGTAATACATTCTGAAAGAATATTATTGCCAATCAATTCTGACAGAATATATTGCTAATCCATTCTGAAAAAAAAAAATATTATTGTTAATCCTCTCATGTTGACGCTATGTATTCCACATTCGATGTGAATTATAAAAATAATTGGTTTCCAACATTCCAGTTCTTATATGAAAATAATATAATAAATGTTAATATTAAAAAAACGATGGCTAATTTATATATTACCGAAAAAAACAATAAACCATGAAATCAAATAATCATCTTCTTTCATTTCAACTACAAAATATTTTAGCATAAGATAGCAAGCCTTAGAAATCTAAAAGCTTAAAAGACAAATAAAAAAGGAACTAAAAAGAAGCCTGGCTAATAACATAAATTGTTACTTCAAAGACTATTTATTATAAAAAAAAAAAATAATAATAATAAAATAAAAATAAAAATAATTACACTTTGGAGGAAACTAGTCATATATTTCGTTCTTTCCGAAACAGGGGTCCACCTTGAAAATTCAGTATTCTACTTCTAAAGCTATATAATCACGTGTATGATTTGTGATTTTGTGCAATTATTTGACATTTGACGGTTATACATACAAACGTTCTTTAATCAACAACAAATATGAATCTTAAAAATTTTTGAGCTAAAACTAGCAAGCCAAATTTTGAATTTGCATCCTTAGACATAGTAAATACCTGCATCCTTAGAAAGTAGGGATAAGATTTAGATTTATATCAAGGAATAAGAGAAAAATTCAGATGCTATTCCAATTAAGATTCAAAATACAAAAAGTAAATTTTCACCAAGAATCATGATTCGAATCATTATTACAAATAAATTTCACATCAAATCAATCATATAACAAGTAGATTTGGAACCCTAAATATATAATCCAACAAAATTTAGAATATATAATACCCAAAACATCAATTCAAGTTATCAATAATCATTAATATGATGAAATTTTGCATTAAACAATAATAATTACCTTCTGCATTAAACAATAATAATTACCTTCTGTTGATTAGAATATGTTTATGACAATTCCTACATAAAATGGGATTTGGGCATAATGTCATCCATTGAATGTATAGAAACATTGAGCAAATGAAGGGAAAATGGAAGCAATTAGACGGAGGCCAGGAAGCCGCCGGAGAACAGACCGATGCCGGAAAAAATAGGGTTGGGGGTTTGGAGTTTGGTGATGGTAGCAGCGAGTTGATGAACACAACAATGACATCGTTTTGGAGATAATGGTGTGTCCGTGTCATGATATAAAGGGGATAGGCGTCGAGGAAAGTAATCTAATACTATAGGGATTAATTAAATATTTATTTAATTATCAAAATTAATTAATAGGTAAGATTATAACTTTATCCTTATTTAGTTTTTTAAAATGATTGATCTATATTGATTTCTATATATTAGAATACATAAACCTCTCTCTCTCTATATATATATATATATATATATATATATATATATATATATATATATATATATATAACTTTGTTTTGGTTGTAATATTTTAAGAAAAGTACTTAACTAAAGTATATCGTTAACTTATTCTTTGTTCTCAATCAAAAGCTAATAACATAGAATTTTGAAGATTGTAACATAAAACAATATAGTACTTAGGATTGAAAGAAATTATAAAGGGTAACCGAGAATTATTGAAATTTGGAAGGGTCCAAGTGGAGGAGGGTAACACAATGGAAGGGCTACGAGGCTGGGGCAATCACACGGAGGGGGGTGGTGGTCGACGTGGTAGATGGGGACGATGGTGGTAGTGTCATAAATGAGGTAGGGGATTCAAGAGTTGTCTGTAGGTTTCCTCTTGACACTAGAATTTAAAATTCCAAATTAAATTTTACTTTTTCATTTTTAGGTTTGGAAACCAAAGGGAACAATCATTAAAAGTAAAATTACCATTTAATCACATCTTTAGTATTTATGATGAAAGGATCTTGCGTTTCGAGAATAAATATTTTGTGTTTCTTGATAATGAGGATGAGTAATCTCACATATATTAATCAACTTTTTTGCGGTTGCTTATCATGATTTTGCAGATTTTGTTTGACGTGGGTGGTTGAACGCGACAAATATACCTTCTTTCATGGTATGGTTAACAGGAATAAGTGAAGATGCAACATTAATGGTCTTTTGATAGACGGTTTGCTGTGAGACTAGTCCAGAAATTATCAAAAATGAAATATGGAAATTTTACTCCACAAAGTTTTCTAAAATGGATCTGATCAAGTCTAAACTAATAAGTTATGTTTTTGAAAAATTACGGATATGAAGCGGATGTTAAAAAGGTTGTTTGATGTTGTGGTAATGAAAAATCTCTGGGCCTTTATGAGTTTACATAAAAAAAAATTAAGAAATTTGAGCTATAAAGATGATTTTGTCAATTTTATTAAAGAATTAGAGGCCAAAGGTACGCGAAGTAAATGATGTAATGGATGGTTTATTTCTCTCATACCTAAATCTGGTGATTTGTTGTGCTTAAAAGATTATATACTTGTGATTCTTATTGACAATATGTATAATGTTTTATCAAAGCTGCTCAGTAAAATATTAAAGAAAGTAATTGGAAAAGTTATTAGTTCATACAATCTGACTTATGTAGTTTTGAACAATCTGGCACATGTGGAGGATAAGAGTATTTTAGGTGGGCTACTTGTAATAAATGAAATTTATTTTTGGGCTAATTAAGAATGTGAAGAAAAAAATATTGATTTTTTAAGTGGCCTTCTAGAAAGTATTTAGTTTGCTTAATTGGCTTTTTTTTTTTATTTGATTGCAAAGCAAATGGATTTCAAATCCAAATAGAGAAGTTAGATAAATGGTTGCTTATTATCTAGCCAAGCCCTGATCTTGGTCAATGGCTCACCAACTAAGGAATTTGACATCCAGAGAGGTGTTTGACAAGATAACCTATTATCACCCTTTGTATTCATATCGCGATGGAAGGCCTACATGTCTCAATGAAAGCATCTTGTGAGAATCACATTTTTCAAGGTATATCTCTCTTGATTAATGACCCTACTTTATCTTATCTCATGTGTGCAAATTTTCTCACATTTATTGGAGAATGGTCCTTGATAAATATTATTAACCTTAATAGATTGCTTTGGTGATTCTCTCTTGCCTCCGGTTTGAAGGTAAATTTACATAAAAGTAAGGTTTTTAGAGTTAGGGTGGAAAATCATAAAACTACTCATTTTTTGGAGAATGGTCCTTGACGATCAAGAGCCCCTGATTCTGATTCTAAGCTTTTGGAAGTTGGATTTATCCCTCTTATTTCTAGAGCCCAACTAGTCTGATATCTAGTTCAGGTAAAGGATGACCAGGTACTTCTGATAAATATTGGTCTGGTTTTGTAGATAGAGCTCATACACGTCATTTGGAACAAACAAGAGCTTAAGTGGAGTATATGCTTATCTCAATGCGTCACAGAGCTATTCAAAGCAATCTGTCATTCACTTTTCCAACCGATGCAAAAACTGATCAAGAGTTCACCTCTTCCAAACAAGCTAAGCAAACCGCTACAGGAGATGTTCCCGATCCAATAATTGTTTCGAATGATCCTCCTCTAAAGTTCCTAAGTGAAGAAACTCCCAAGCCTCCTGACGAAGAACAATATGAGGATGTCATGTTTGATGATGACCGTACATCTGTTGGTGCAATTCCAATCCTCACAACCTTCAAGTCATTAGAGAAGCCCTCATCTTCCAAACCAGCATACGATTTCAACCTTTTCTCCTCCCCCTCGAAAGAAGAAGAATTAAATCTTGATGCCAACACTCCAAGAAATCAAGGAAATGAAACTGAAACCAATCCAATTGATAATCCCACTCCTTCGAAACTACAAGATGATGATGTTGGTGATTACAATGACAAACAATCTGCGAGTTCTACCTCAGACACAATATCTTCGAATGAAAACATAGTAGATTGTTTTTCCTGGTTAGAACAAAGAGACAACGTTGTTAGTGTTATATCTAAGGTTCACTCACTCAACACGTATGTAGCTCAACTCGACTCCAAGATTGATCAGAAGGTTACCAGCCTCGACTCCAAGCTTGAACTCATTCTCCAATCTCTCTCCAAGATCAAAGAAGCTGGCCCCTCCGAACTCGATCGAATAAATCAACTCGACCAACTTATTTCTCTTTGATTCAAGTATACTCTGGAAGAAGTTGAACAGAAATACAATGACATCCTTGATCACCATATCTCCACCACCACCACTATGCTCAAGATTCACGACGTCATGATCAATGCGACCAACGAAATGATCAAACAAACTCATTTTCGTCATGAAAAGTACATCCAAAGGCTGGAAAAGGAGATTCAGAAGAAGGGCAAGATGAATTTGATTATGCAATAGGTCCTTATCAAGCTGCTCCGAGCATGATGAAATATTGTTGATGTTCCGAACAACAAGTTTGATTAAATGCTCTCGATTTTGGGCTCGCTTTTTGATCATCTAAAAGCTCAAGCCCCCGCCGACAAAGCATACGACTCTCTCTCCAAATAGATAAACATGATCTTTCAGAAAGTGTTCAAATGCTTGACTGACCTTTAGGGCAATGCCATACTTGCATCGCATGATGGGCCTTCCAATACGATAGTGTGAGAATGAGCTAGTCAGAGAGAAAGAAAAGTCAAATGGAATCCCATCTCAGGATTTTTGATCTGATATGACTCAGCTGATAATGAATCTCTCGAGGATGAAATCATTGAATCTCTTGAGAAAGGTGATGAAGAAGATTAAGACATAATTGATAAAGTTATTCTAGGACTTCAAGCTATCAGGGAACAACCAATGAAGCTTCTCTTAGAAGAAGAAAATAGGATATAGTTCATTGTCTCTTGGCCATCATCCTTCATAGAAGTGCACAAGCGAAGTCGTGAAATGGCGAAGCTCAAAACGAAACTAATGTTTGATTCCTTCTAAGCTACACAATTCATTCTCTCACCAATACCTACTCCGATAATAGCTCAGATCCATATGAAGGTTCTCCAACCCAGAAACCTGATGAGCTACCTGAAGAGCCCATGGTTCCACCTCCACCGGAATTCATCATCTCCGAAACAGTCCAATAAATCGTTGTTGACCTAAACAATTCTTTTCAAGACAAAGGAAAGAAGATTGCTACTGAACCAGACAGCCCAATGAGGACGTTCAAAAAGTCTAAGGGCTGGTCTCAAGAATAGATAGATCAAGCTCTGGAAGAAAGAATCAGGATTTAAGCACTGAACGACAATCTAAATCTGATGTTTGACATATCTCCTCTTTTCCGAGAAGGAGTTATTCACAATATTGATTTTATGCCCTTCATGTACTATGATCTTCCAACTCAGGATTCTGACCAAATTGATCTTCCAATCTCTCCTCATGGTAAACTCTACATCAAATATGCTCATCTTCATCTAAATGACGATCCACAAAAAATCATCAGGACAAAACGTGAGAGATTGAGAACCTTCTACTCCATCAACACACATCCTCAAAAAGAAGTGTGGTCTCATAAGTGGATTAAAAAGATCGTTGGTTTCAGCAAAAAGGTTCAGAGCAAATTTGATCTCAACTATATGTTGTATAGATACTATGTATCTCGGAATAAAGAAGCAACTCTCACTCTCACAGATGTCGAATTTCCCTCAATCAACCCCAATGACATTCTTACAATTGTTACTCACCTCCGATATCGCCAAATGAGTCACTTAAGCATCAGATCTTATAGTGCTGCAATCAATTTCTTAAAGGGCTATGTTGCAGAACTTTGCATGTCCGACATTGAATTTGCTCACTTATTCGAAACAGAAAATGTTTTGGAAAAAATCACTTATGAACTATCTGAAACTCAAATATTGGCAAAAGGACACATTGAAGAACCGAAACTTGGATACATCTATCACAGAAAGAAGACCAATCGAAAAGAATTCTTTAGAGTTCTTGACAAACACTAGGTTCCATCAAAAATCCTTTAAAAGTTCATCTCCAATGTTGCAAAAAGTGAAGCTCCTGAGCATGTGAAGAAGAAGTTCATTGAACAGTTGAAATGGTACTTGGAAGTTCGAAGATAGCTACAAAGTACCTATCTCTTTGTGTATGATGAAGCCCACTGAGTTGCTTGATTTCTATGTTCACTTATGGGGAGATTGCTAATACATAAAAGTGAACCTCCATAAATCCAAGCAAAACCAGATTCAAAATCAACCTAAGTCCGAGATGTGAAGAGTTACAAAGTTTGTCCTGTTCTGTCACAACTGAGAAATTTTAGACCCAACATGCTCTAAACCCTAACCTAGTACAAGTGAAACCACATTTCAATCCTTGTTGCATTTTACCATCTATTGCCTTAAGGGCATATTTAGAAGCTAATAATTAAATATAGTTTAAAACCCATATTAATTTAAGCTAATATATATCAACATAAGATAAAAGTTTAAATTTTAAAACATGAAATAACCCCCATATATGAGTTTTTGGTCCAAGATCCAATGATCTTTTAGTTTTCGATCCAAGAGTTCTAGAAACAATGAGTTTTCAGCCAAGGAATCTAATCCAATTAGAGTTTTCAGTTGTAGATTCAATGAACAAGCGGTTTTCGATATTGGTATGACCGAAATCCCTAAGATAAAGCCCATTAGGGCCGAAAACAACAAGTTAAGGACCGAAACCCCAAAAGCCAAGGCCCTTTAAGGTCGTAAACACTTATATATATATATATATATATATATATATATATATATATATATATATATATATATTCCTCCGAAAACACTCCTCATATCTTACAGTTCACACCACAAACACTTCCCATTTTGCTCTCAAGTATCATCCGTAAACAACATATGTTCATAAGGTGGTTACCCAGATCTTTTTATTTTTAGCAAGAACACCAAGAACATTCATCAGTATCTTTAAATCTTCAAGCCTACACCGAAAACCACCCAAGTTCACGGAAAACGCCTAGAAATTTTCCAAATAATTTCTAAGGCTATTTGTATGTATTCTTACATAATTAAACTGTTGTCTAACAGTTTAATTATTATTTAAATCATTATTTATTCTATTATTTAAATTAACATCTTATTAATTTAAATACGATGTCGGGTATAATAATTTTCAGGATACGACTATTCGCACGATTTCTAACCTGAGGATCATCACTGCCACTTCGTATCCAAACGAGAACGCGAATTCGATGTGAGTTCATACCCTACGTTTTTACCATTTTTCAATGTTTTTAGGGTGGAATACAAGTATAACACAAAGAAATCTTGTGTTAACATCCAAATGATTTCAAGCTGTTTTAACTGAATTAAACTACTTCAATTATTTTATGGTTTTGTTCTTCCAAAATATATGATTATATTTGTGTGTGTGTGTGTATTATATATATATATATATATATATATATATATATATATATATATATATCTAGTGTTTCCGCTTTATTTCATGTTCCTTGTCTGGTCGTGGATTTAAGGAAGAATCACTTGTCTGACTGCATTTAATCTAAATCATATACGCCTCATATATATATATATAGAGAGAGAGAGAGAGAGTGTGTGTGTGTGTTTTAAACCTTTTGTAACGTGTCGAGCAAAATGATCTCTTTCTCAAATATTTGATTGTTGTCAAACAGACTGTTAAATTACTAAGATTTTCACCATTCAGAGCACGTATATAAACTATAATAGGTATAGTTTAGGGAACATATACACTAAGGTCTTAACTATGAAAAGGATAATACCAACTGTTTATCACTATAAAAAGGCTTTCTTTATTCTACACATAACCATCGATATAGATTTTTGAGACATGTCTTCAAGTACTTATCTAAGTGCCAACGAAAGTCTTAACCATAATAATCAGAGTCAACTAGAGGGAGCATGCGAGTTTGTGTATAGATATATACGGTATTGAAAATATTGCACCATAATTGTTCCCTACAGTTAGGCCGGCACGCCTGAGGTGACAAATGTCATAAACGATTCTGACGCTTGAAGAACATCATGTCAGACCATCCATCATATTAGCATGGTTATGAGATCTCACAATTTGGTATCAGTAGTACGATTAGTGTATGAATACATAAACAAACTTCAAATAGTTTTATTTAATTATAAAACTACAACTAAGGACTTTACAAACAAGTAGGATCTATAGGACCCTTATTGCTAATTCTTGGACTCTTTGGTTTATACATCAGGGTTGTATATAGATAATATCCGATAGGAATTGGGATGGGTGCTTTCTGACTTACTTCCTTTTCTTTGTTTGGTTGTGGGCTTAGGTCAGAATCACTCAATCAACTGTTCGTTCGATCTTGATTATATATAACTTGTATGCACTAATTAATCATAGGAGGAACATATATGGAACATATATAGCACACCATTTTCTAGTATGGAACTTACAGTTTTGGGGAAAACATATATTAATATAGTTTTATCAAGTAATAAAACTACAGGTATACAAACTTAGCGTACATTAACATGCATATGTTTTGGTCTTAAGGTCTAAAACTACATCTCAATTATACTAAGAAAATATTAGATTTTCTGAAAGAACACACTCACCATTCTAAAAGGACCATTACGGTTAACTTTGTAAGTACCTACTGAATACGTTAGGGTTATATATAATGAAGATCTAACATGTAGTGGAATGTGTGGTTTCCGCCTCATTTCATGTTCCTTGTTTGGTTGTGGGATTAGGGTGGAACCTCATAATCGAGTGTCTGTTCGATTTGGGTTGTGTATAACTTGTATCCACTAAGTACTCATAGAAGGAACTAGTATGGGTTACATTTCTTATATCATATTGCATCAGGAAATATATGATTTTCTGGAGGAACACACCAAGGGTTACAAGAAACAAAGAACATACTTTCTAAAGAATAATGCTTATGAACTCGCCAATTTTAATGTTGACACTTTCAAAACCGCTTGTATTCTCAGGACACTAGTAGACAGGTACACGCACAAGTTTCGAGAAGATGGATCATAGTTGCTTCAAGTCCTTGTTTTGCTATTTACTTTCGGAGTCAATCATATGTGATTCGAATACAATGTAACCACTATATTATCAATACAATGGTTGTTCTTACTTTAAATACTATTATTCAATTTTTGTGATACTGTACATGATGTCCTCCACCCCAAACGTTTCTGCCTTTCCGGTTTGGGGTGTGTCAGATTAGTATCAGAGCATTATTTATAGTGAACTCATTATATCAACCCATAAAAGATATACAACTATAAACACAATGGGATAAAAACACTCTAACCAAGAATTATACTTTTAAAATATAACAATGTTATTATAAAAGTATATATATATATATATATATATATATATATATATATATATATACACATACATACATACTAGAACAAGTATCACAAGAAGAACAAAACAAAAGTATTTAGATGTTGGACACTACAATCAAACCTAGATAGTTATGTATTCATATCTGGGATAAATATAGCCTGATCAACTGTATCTATTTGAGATATGACCAACATGTGTTTGGGAGTGATAATGGTGTTGCAACAAGCCTAAAACTTACCAACTCTACATACAAAAGAATACTAGAACCAAACATAAAGTTAAAATACTATAGGAGTATTTGATGATACTATACAATAACAACAAGTCTAAAAACGTATCAACTTCGTATACCAAGAAACTTTAGAATCAAACATACAATTAAAATACTATAGGAGTATTTTAGGCACTATAAGTATGTGAAAATTAAAAGACCCTTACTAGCAGGTCTATAATTGCAGAGTGTATGCTCCCAGGGTTATATATAATTGAGATTTTATAGACTTAGAACTTATGATCTTCACTCTACTTCATGTTCCTTGTTTGGTTGTGGTCTTAGAGTATGATCACTTATTCGAAGGTATATTTGGTCTTGGTTATATAGAACTTGTATACACTACGTGATTATAGGAGGACCCGGTAAGGATCACCATAAAATTTTTGATAGAGATGTTTTTATTAATCTCATAGATTCTTTAGGCATCCCCATCACACCAATAACATAGCTAGGTATAGCCACTCCAATGTATCAGCCAAAAGAGGTGCCAAGGAAGAACAAGAAGAGGTTCATGGGGAGGATTCCTAGAAGGGATCAGACGAGGAGTAAGGAACTGGAGAAATCATTGAGGACCCTTACCCTATAAGGAGCAGGCATGAAAGGCTCGCTCAAACATTCGGAGTCAGACTTTTCATCATGAATTGGTGGAGATCAGTAATAAAACCCGAAGCATGATATAGCAAGGGTTCAACACATCTACAGAGAACAAGAACACCATAGGAAGGTATGGAGACAACAAGCCCATACAGCTGAAACTAGGTCAAGCATAGCAAGGACAAAGAGTAGAGGAAACCACTCACGAGGTGTGCGAGGTGGAAGAGCACCTAATGCTTCACTCTAATAATTAATAAACTAATAAAACCTAGTGAGTTAGTGATTACACTACTCACACTATCTGCTAGGCTTACCGCCTCTTTCTTCTTAACTAATGCTAGTAAATCAATTCACCGAACTCTGTTTCAAGGTAGTCAATACTAAAAATTCATAAGTCTATTGTACATAGACCTTTGTTATGCATTGTTTTCAAAACCCTTTAAAAGTCGGAACATGATACACTAAGAAATAAGATAACTTAGTACAAATAACACTCGACTTGTAACTACTACTAAAGGCTTACCCCCGTTTCATCTTTTAAAACCTTATGGAAGAAAGATGCCACCAAAGAAGTCAAACAGAAACAAAAAAACGCACCACCAACACCACTACCACCACCTCCATAGTACGATCCTGTTGTCTTTCAGGTTGCAGTAATAGTCACGGTGACAATGGTCATGACCCAAATCCATGCGAGTGGTTCCAGCGTGGTGGGTAGTGGTGCTAACAACTCTAACCATGGAGAAAGCCATGGATGCCCAAGAGAGTTTTCGTACAAATACTTCATGAATTGAAAACCCAAATCCTTTAATGGAAGTGGGGGAGTCATTTCTCTAATGTGATGGTTCGATAAAACGGAATCGATCTTTGAGATATGCGCATGCCCAAAAGGGAGCAAAGTGAAGTTTGCTGCTTGCACCCTCTCTGACGGGGCCCTTACATGGTGGAATGGCCATGTCAATTCACTGACCCTACCTGTGGAAAACGCGATGGGCTCGGAGAATCTAAAGGAGATGGTGATGGAAGAGTACTGCCTGAGGGGCGAAATTAAAAGCTAGAGAAAGAGTTGTGGAGCCTTACCATGGCAATCTCGGACATAGTTTCCAACACCAATAGACTTAGCGATCTAGCCGCACTATGCCCCAGGATGGTTACCCCGGATATCAAGAAGATAGAGAGATACATCTGGGGACTATCTCCATAGATCCAGGGAAACGTGATAGCTACAAATCCCCCTCACGTTCGACAGTGCCAAGCATCTGGCACAAACACTTATGGACCATGGAGTCCGTCAAGGCATAATGACCCCTGTTACTAAGCCAACCAAGGGGAGTGACTACAAGAGAAAGTCTTGGAGCAAGAAAAAGGGACAACCAACACAAGATACCTCTAAGAAACAATAGATCATTGTGGTTCATGCTACCACAACACCTGCCACACCATCACCTATCATTCGATATGTTGGAACCGTCTCAAAGTGTAACAAGTGTAACTTCCATCACACTGGATGTTTTCGGGAGATGCATTGCAAGAATTTCAACAGGAGGGGGCACACTACCCATTTCTGCTGGACACTGGCACGACCAATCTCCCAGGTCCCTAGCATTGGAGTAAGCCATGCATGTTATGGGTGTGGAAAAACTGGACACTTCAAGAAGGACTGTCCAATAACAAGGAACTCTAGCGGAGATGGAAGAGTGTTGATGATCATCGCATGAGAGACTCTTCCGGAACCACCTGTGAACAGCAGTACATTTTCCAAATAAAAATGTTTTAAACCTTAAAATTTTTACGATAAAAGTTACCAACTAAATCATAATCATAAATTACTCTCTCGTCCGAACAAAGCACATCACTTATATAAAAACTAAGGATCCTTGTTGGTGAGCTGTGATGACTTATTGTATACGCTAGGGTTATATATAATTAAGAATCTACAGACTTAGAGTGCGTGATTTCGTCTTATTTCTTGTGCCTTGTCTGGTTATGGATTTAGGGCAGAG